AAAAAAAAAAGTTCCAAAGAGCAATAACTTATCATAGACGTGTCATATGAGGCGGTGAGCTGTTATGACGAAAGTAAAACGCCACTGATAAATGAAACAGACTTTAAAATCCACTTAAAAGTGGCCAACCCCTTCAAAAAACATTTGGATTCATCAAAACACAATAATCAGTCAAAATGGTTCAGAACTTTTCTATCACCCACTTTATTTTTTTGCATTACAGCTTAAATATTATTACTAAGATTGAATTTTAAGAAAAAGTAAGAGAATGCTGTTTGCAGCAGAAGTGAACCAAGAAATACTGTGTAATAAATTCAATTTAAGAATTCACTTTTTGCTGTAATTAAAAATTACCCAAAAAATTCAACTTTCACTGCAAAAATGGATTGAAGCAAAGCGTAATATAAAAGTTTATTAATAAGCTGATAATCAAAAAACCGCTTGCAATAATTCTGAACAATCTTTTGGTTTTAACCATTCTAGCATACAGGATCTAGAGACCTTTATATTCATAAAGTTATCTTCAAAAATTGAGCACAATTTTAAGAAACAAACCTCTTCAGCGCAAAACGTCTTTGAATTTTAGCAACAGCCATTAGAAAGTGAAACGTTAACCTTCTAATTTTTTGTTTTTAACTCTCCAAAAAAAAACAACTACAAGTAAATATCTTGCAACAATTAATCAAAATGACAAAAGCAGTTATCACAACCGTTTCTACTTTTTACATTCCCCAGAAACCTAAAAAAATTTAACAAATAACACAGATTTTACAAATGTACTGTTATTTCTCAGCCATTCGGCATCACATTACAAATACTCCTCATTTTTATTCATTGTCAGCAAATAATCAAGCATCAATACTATTATTATAATTACAATCATAAATGGTATTATTATTATTATTATTATTATTATTATTATTATAATTGTCGCCACTATTATTGTTATTAATCTAAACACTATTATTACACCTGTATAAAATAATCATCTATAAAAAAAATCTTCATTTCCTGCAATTTATACAGTGTTTTAAAACCGTGTTACAGCTCCCAATTCTAAACCAAACATCAATCTGTTTTTGAAAGCTTACTTAACACGTCAGATTTTATCAATGTCAACAATAAAGAAAGGAGAAACTGCAAAAAAATCTGCTTCATTTATTAAAAAAAAATACAAACATTTTCTTTATTGTAAGCAATTTTATCAGTCAATAAAGAAAAGTTGTAAGCGACATTAAAAAAAAAAAAAAACTAATTAAAAAATTTCTAAATATAATAAGGATTCAACTTTTTTTTACATAGTATAAATCTGCCTTATCAGAGAACTAAAAATAAAATTAAAAATCTGCAAGCAATAATCTTCCTTTCGTTTACATTCCTTTTTAGAAACAAAAACAACATGTCAAGAGATTAAAATAGCTTTAAGAAGAATTTTTTTCAAGTTATGCAACAAAAGTAGAATAAAAAAATGAAGAATAAAAAAAATGGTTAGGAAGAGAAATTTTGGAGACACCACGTGTAAACGAATTAAAATGTGTGTTAAATAAATTAATAGCTGATAAGAAAACGACGAGACTTTTGTTATGATAGAAACTCATCAATTTGTTTCCAATGTCAATCAAACTAAGACAATATTGTCCTAATAAGTCTTTCGCTTGTTAAAATAAACACGATAATAAAAAAAATTGTTAGACTTTTCCGTCTGCTGTTCCTTAGTCATCAAATTTTGCACTTTTTTAAAAAACTAACATAGTTGACAGTAAAAAAATCATACTCTTTCTTTGTGAACAACAGCATCTAAAAATAAAATTGCTTAGACAATCCTTTTAAGAATTCAGCCTTATATATTCACAAATGTAACAGTATATCTGCACTCAAAACAGCCAAAACAATGTAACAATTTCTTCGACATTTATCAAGGTTAAAAATATCAGATCTTTAACTTAAAACGACTTAATTTATCACCTCTAATTTCTAAAAAATTCCAATAAAAAGCCTTAAGTTATAGCAAACTGAAAGCATAATCAATTTCAAGCAAAATATTTATAATCAGGTTAATAACTGAATTATTACCTAATGACATTTCTGGAAAAAAATGTAAATCCATTATACGCAAAAAAAAAACGACTGCAATTTATTTTGCTAAGGTATGTGATCATAAAGATATACAAAAAAAAACCATCACTTCATTCCAATAATAACTTTAAAAATATAAGAATTGTAAGAACTTTTCTGTAAAAGTGTAAGTAAAAAAAACAGGCTCAAAATAAAGTATGATAAATTTTTTGAAAACATAAAAACTAATCAAAATCGACAATACTTAATTTGAATTAATTGGTAACACTTACTTTAACACAGAAAAATAGCAATCATTTCAAATGTAAATCAAACATTATAAATTTATCGAATGCTACTTCTGTAAAACTCAAACAAAAAAAATTACAGAAGGGTATCACGAGTCAAAAAGAATCATTCAGAATAAAGAAGAAAACTGATTTTTAACAAAGATAACAGACTTCAAATGTGAAATACTGTAAGCGATCCAAAAACCATTGTAATCAGGATGAAAAGAACAAGAGTCACACAACTTACTCGTTTGAGTCCAGTTGGATCTACAGGCATCAAATAAACAAATTTTTTCTTGTAATCCTCCGGCATCTGCCAAATACGAAGAAGTACATTTAAACGATTCAAATTTAGAATACTGCTGACCAACCGCTCGAATACAATTATGCCATGGCCCTCGTTTTAACAAACCCAACATTCATGAGCATTTAGTTCTCGAACCTAACTGGTGAACTAAAAACCGTTCTCAATAAGTATTTATAAAATAACCAGGAAGAGAAGTTTCGAAACTGTGGACAATGGAAATATGAAAAACAAGCTGCGAAAAACACGTTTGAAAAAATTCACAAAAACTTTTTAATTTTCACAACATCTTTGAAAATAAGATTATTTAAATTAACTGAGCTTGAAATATAAAAGGATGTATCAGGTAAAACAACTATTAAAAATATAAAGGGTAATTTAGAACACTTAATTATAGGTAACCCCATTATTAAATTCTGCTCCCAACAGTTAAAACTAAATATCGTTAAGAAACAATTACAGCAAAGGATAAATTGTTTGAGCATGACATTTTTTTCCAGAATGTTCAAAAGACTAGTTAGCAGAGAATTTAAATACACCTTTTGAAGAAACATCAAAAATAAGAATGCAAGTCAGGAGTACAGTTGCTTGAGCAACACCAATTGTTTTTCTAGTTTAATTTATTTTAGATTCTAAAAGGCATCCAAAACAGACCCTAAGCTTTAAAAACGTAAAGAGATTTTGAACAAATATGCATAAACACTAAAATTTTAGCCTTGCAGAAGAAAAAATCAGGAAAAAATCCATAGCAAGAAGAAGAACTGCTGATCTGAGGAGTTTTAGTTCAAGACCCATTAACACTCATCACCTATCACACGTTTTACTGCTAACAAAATTTTATAGTACAATGGGGCCTACAGGAGTGTCGCCTTAGATGAAGAAAATTAACAACAGAAAGTCCCAATCACTGTTAGGCAAAAATCTCAGATATCGTTACCATATGCAAGAAACAGCCAAGTAAAATCATCATAAAACAACTCCTCAGTTTGCGAACAATATTTCGTTCACGAAACAGGGAAAACTAGTGATAACTCACTGTCGGACTGTGCCAACGGAGCTACTCAACAAAATTTTGCACCGATAAAACGTTACCTTGGTTGGCCAGTGAGGATTCCTAAACGGATCACTTGCAACCACCGTTGTTTTTTGGCTGTAATTCCTGTAATCTACCAGAAGTGCTATCCTCCAGATGCCGGTAAACGTTGTTTAGAGGGAATAATTCCCATTAACAATAAATTAGAGAACTATATTTGGTGGTGCATAAGCGAAAGTCACAGTGATAACCGACTGTCAGGATCATCCATTTAAATGCACCGAAAAACCACATAGTCTGCACCTAAACTGCTGTCTGGAGATGCGAAGAATACT